CGGGTTGTAGGTGGCCGACCATTTGGTCGGCAGTGTGAGCGGAGTCTCACATCTTCGTAACAGCGATGACGTATCGTTGACGCTACGGACACCGGACAACCCAATAAGCAAACCCAAGAAGGTCAAAACAATTGTTTTGACCGAAAATTCGTTTTTAGTGGTAATCAGTGGCCCTGATCACAAATATAACACCTATTCTTGGCGTCCACGCAATTTGGCGACAGAATAGCGCTGAACGTTCCCTATATTGGTGTACATAACGAATTCAGTGGAAAGAAGATGTGGCCCCAAATTGTCTATAATTGACACCACACCAGAAGTTACTAAATTCGCAATCAGATCCACTGTATAGCCTATGAGGATCAACGTCCAGCAACAATCTTGTTCAATGGTGCGTGAAAATCGAAATAGTTGAATAGCACTGACTCATGAGGTACAGCTACTCAGAATGTGCCCATAAATGGCAAATATCCGAGTTATATTCATGCGCAGACACTAATGGAAGCGAGAACAGCGAAATCTAAAAAATGCAAAAAGCCGCGACGCAAGGGGAGCCGAACCATCAACCCCACCCTCACTGTCCGATTGCGAAACCTCCACTCTATCCGCTAGGCCATCCGATGCTCGACTATGCTAGCGCTCTTATCGTTGATGAAACCATTGCAAGAAGCCGTTCACCCTTGAGCACATGACCCAAGTTGGAAGCTCACTTGCGGCGATTTTTCGCTTCGATTCAAATAGCCCCTTTATAAGGACCCCCCACTCAGCAACTGGTCAAAGTTGCAAGTGACCTACGCCGTATAGAGGCCCAGAACGAAGCAGATTCCAAATTTCTTTTCACTCGTTTTTTACCTTTCCTGGAAGCGCGCAGCGAAAATGAAGCACACTTTTCAGGTCCTTGCATGAGCCCCTACAATATGCAAAAAACCGTTTTCGAAAAGCGCACCACGCCCTGAACGACCTCCCTTGTTAGTGGTGGGACAGAGGTTGAAATCCTGCAGTTTGCTTATGCCAAACACTAGGAATTGGTTTTACGTACCAGTTCAGACATTAGGGGCCCACTCTGCTCCTTATTGAGCCCTGTGGATGACTTTCGAGAGGAATTGCACTCTCACCTATTCGCTCAAGCAGGGATCCAAATAAACCTTCATATCTGCTTCAAGCGCTTGAGCCGAAAGTTTTCCATTGCTTACAACATTTGATGTTTGCACAACATAGGACATCGCCATATGTAGGAGTTTCCTGTACACCATACTCACAATATCGGCCAACTCGGATCCTAACAGCTCTCGGATCCTGCGACCAATAACTGGGAGTATGTTTTGCCGACTGCTGCGATCACATCTAGTGGAAGAATTCTGTTCCTGCGGTATTGTGCGTTCACTAATCCGAAAAGAGAGTAAGACCGCACTTTTGAGGTGTGGAGGTCTCGCTAGAGGAGGTGGCTCGAAGGTTCTCATTGCTCAAGGGCTTCACTATTGCACAAGTCTTATATAGTATGCGTATGGTTTAGGTGAATGAAGCCTTAGCACAAATAAGTCGCACATGTTCGTGCATGAAGAGCAGGTTGCGTTTTATTGCTACCGACCACTTGCGTAATTGAGAGAACGGCACTCTTTACCCTTTACCGCCCCAGTCATCCGAAATCGTGCCTATTTTTGACGACTTTTTTCTCCTTGAACAGATTTGGCTCTATTGCTGTATTCTGGAGTAATTTCACCTCCTCAATACGAATATTACGTCGCTTAGCCTGAAGCTCCCTGACGCCTGCGCTGGTGATTTGGGGCGTTTCGGCGCCGACGTCTGTGGCGCGGGCTTCAGGTGAGTTCGTGCTGAGCATATGATTCTCATCTTTCGGAGGTTGAACTACCGAAGGAGACAAATTTTTAGCCAGTTACGCCCGTGGAAAAAAGTCAGTCAAAACTGGTCAGATTTCGGGTGATTGGGGCAGTTAAAGGTAAATACTGCCGAGAGAACTAGTGGAAGGAAGTGATAGCAGAGCGGCTCATTTCTAGAGCTCTTATATTTCATTCTACGTGTCGACCCGCTACTTTTTATCAAGTTATCTCATGTGCTGGATTAATATTCCGCACTGTTCACAACAATATATGCCCCAAATAAGGCTGGGCCCTACCAGCGCTATCGATTTCAATGCATTCACTAAAGTCGAAATGAAATATCTCCCCAAATTCGCTCATATGGCTCAACAAGGAGCATAGAGGAGCTTCTGATGATCGAACTGGGGCCTAAATTTACTTTCCACGTGTTTAGCATACCTTTCAAGAAAAAGCAAAACTACGCCTGCTTACCTTGCTGCGCCGTAGAGCCACGCCTGCAGTTGTGTCACGGGGGGTCCAACGAGTGCAAAGTATGGGCAGCCACCGCATTGGTTAGGCACAGTAGGGAAAAAATGTCCCTAACTTCTCGTTTAGCAAACTTGGAAAGTCAGATCTGAAATCAGCGTCCAGAATGTTTTTAGAAGTGTACATCCATCCTGAATGGCCATGGCGAGTTGTTATCCTTCCCTTATTAGTACTATGAAGGGTGGAAATGAAAAGCTGTGCAAAAGGGGCACTAGTCCTAGTCATCAATGGTGATTACCTTGTAGATTGGAGGTGTCTTTTAGTGAAGAAAATTTGGTCCGAAAATTTGGTCAAGGTGTTGCAGGACTTTCCTTCGAACCTAATAGCTTTGTTTTGTTATTTTCGGACGCATTCTGACATGTCTTGACGTGATCGAGAAAGCGTGCCCTATGAAGGGATAGCTTATTGCGCGTCGGTTGATTCGTTCGCTTCTGTTTGTCCACTCTTTCGTCCATTTGATCATTGTTAATTATCGGCGCATGTCCCACGCCGCGAAGCTAACTTCTGCCTCGATTATCTCGCTAACTTTTTAATTTCGAAGATCATCTCGAGCCTTCGCAAAGCTATTTATGGTTGCTACCCATTACTTGATGAAGCATTTCCGACTTGTACATTATTTCGCTATCAAGAGCGTGTGTCGTATCACATTGCAAAGAACTATGTCACCGTCACATTCGAGTGGTGAAATACCACTCGCCGACCACAGTTGAAAGGCGAAAGGGGAGCAGAGCAACACTTCAAATTTCTCTAAATGGCGAGGGAAATGAATGAGAATCGACAGCGTTGTTTGCTGTTGACCTTAACAAACAGGCAAGACGATCCACATCCGTAGAGTGAGCAACCATCAATGAAGAATGCTGGGCTTGCGATAAACTAGAAATATAAATAAGAATGAATAAATGAATAAGGTTTGAAGTTCATTACCTATACTAGAAGCGGCAATTTTAAAGGCTGATCAAATTTAGCTTTATTAGTGGAAGAAAAGCTAAGCTTTTGACTGTTGGACTGACTTTTTTGTAATCAACTGCCAACGTCAGCACGGCGTGCCATGGAAGTGTGCAATTCCAAAGTTTTGAGGCATGTTAAGGCCTTTGGAAACGAGCAACGGGTGGACACTTTACTCAGATAGCCGTGCTCCCTAAGATTTTTGCAGCCCGAGCATAGAAATAAGAACACATCGTGCAATGAAGAACTTTCAAGAGAGAAGAGGGAGGTTGGAATCTGCTTTAGTGCAAGTCTTCGATATTTCGTCTTGCCAAAATAGAGCCTGTAGTCAAGTCGTTGTTGTGTTCTTGTATTATACGTTTGTATTCATTAATCAGTGTCAGCGCCTGCAAAGGGCTAGTATCAAAAGGAAGCGCAGTTTGTGAACTGCCTTCACGTACTTTATTGTACACCTCCATCAGTGTTAAATGAGACTTTGCGTAGTTGCTCAGAGTTTCTCCTCTCAGGATGAAAGCTGAGCGAAACTACGTTCATGACCATGTAGTGTTTATTGCAGAGAAAAACTTAACTGAGCGCTAGTCCAAGAGTTCTCAGTAACTGAGAAAGAGCTTCAATCGGAGAAAAAACAAAACTTCCAGTGTTCCTACGGAGCAAAACAGTATGGCTATCTGAGCATTGATTGTGGAGGTAATACTTAACGATGTCTTCGATCTCGAGATGTTTCTCATGGTAGATGTCGCTGCAGAGCCTACATAACGCGTCACTTTTATAGGTGGATGGTATTCTATAGTGTTTGGTCCATTCAAAGTATCTGAAATGTGCAGGAATGTAGGTACTGCGAGCATCGTTTGTGAATAGCTGTATTGACTGTAAAGAACGCACTTCAGATACGCAGTGTCGTTCTTGCGCAGATAGTTCAAATAATTGCCCAATTCCTTGGTACTGTTGAAGTCGTCAAGAGCAATGAATGAGTTAGACGGGACGTCAGTACCTGGAACGTATTCTGATCGATATTCTGTTGATGACACTTTCCTAGGATGCGACTCGACAAGCACATCAACTGTTGAATTTGAAAAAAATGTCTAACAATATTTGCCACGTCTGGTCTTTTTCAAAACTAGACATTTGCACAGGAGGTGTTTGCTTGTTGCTCACACATAGGTTGGTGAGATGGAACCGCGTTCATTGAAATCAACAACTCTTTGTTTTGAACCTGAACATGGCCTTAAGTTCTCTAGTTGTAGTCATGCTGATTACATTATCAGGTTGGGCAAGTAATTATCATTATTCTCTCTGTTTGAAGATGGACAGGGCAAAGTATCGGACTTCATCAGACTTCAAGGAGGAAGCGTTTTACTTATATAACTTCAACTGGAGAACAAGTCTCCTGCTCAAAGGCAATATTACTACTGTTCCACAACAACCGCATGTCTAATACAGTGCGTAACAAAAGTATGTGAACATCCCAAACCCCTCAGGTTTTCGCGGAATGGGACCTTTACCGTTACACCAACGGGAAAGACTTCCTCATATCCTTCACTGTTGTAACATCTCATGGACGATTTTACATTTCATTCATCATTTGAGAGGTTTTTCGTGTACCAAAAGTCCAAAAGTACGTGGATACATGAGAAAGAATTCGAAGTTTTTCTTGAGAGTAGAGACTGCTAGCTCTTGAGTAATCTTGTGCTAGATTGCCAATATGGCATCTTCCTGAATGAAATTTCTTATGGCTGTCTCGTGAATAGCATCTCAAGGAGCGGCGCATAGTAGTAGCCCTTGGTGAACATGCTTCATGCTGAAAATGCAAGCCTCCTCCAGGCTTGCGATTCGAGGATCTCAGGAGCCACCGACGAGAGCCACACAAAAGAGGCGAAACTACGTCGGAAGCGTTAGCACAGAGCTTTTTTAAACCAGGAAGTTTATCTGACTAGAAATCATGGGATGTTCTCCTCTTTAACTTTTCAGTCTCTCCAGAGATTCCACCTCATGTCATTGTAATATTTTCACGGAAAATCTCCAGTCTTGCTATCTGATCCTGAGCAGTGCATTTGAAGGCGCTTTCCATTAATTCATGAAGAAGGTTCATTTGATTGGGGACCGCTAAAAGTTGTCATTATCGGTCAGCAGACTATATTAAAGACACATGGTACGCTCAAACACATTGAGGGTGTATGAGACTATCAGCCCCCCAGCTGTCGATGTGTCGTGGTCCCCCGCCCAAAACTGCACGGGGTCAGAGTACGGGGCCGTGGGAAAGTCGTAATTCCTTGCTACACCGCCCTCACGTTTATGCTAACACCATCCGCGCG